GAAAGATACCAAATGATACTATAAGGGAAAGAATGAAAAGAAAACCGAATGATATGGTCAAATGAATGACGACAAAGAAAACAAGATGCAAAAACCTTGAGCCTAATGCTCTTGGTGACTAAGACTCGTAAAAAATATACAAATTGGAGTCAAAGCTCAACAATGAAAGACTGTAATAAAAATTAATGAAAACAAAAATTTACTCTAAAAGATGTACAAAAATCCAATTCGTAGTGCAAACACACACGAAAATTTTCTTACCAACAAAAACCACTACAACAATTCAGTTGGCCATTTATAAACAATGTCAGTTTACTAAATGATGTCGGTTTCATGAGTCAGCACCTAGTTTTCCAGAAATTTGATATACAATAACAGTTTAGAACTAACATTAAATAATTCGAATTAATGTCGGTTAATAAACATCATGGTAGAAAAAGAAAATTATGCATGCACGATTCGATTTAAAAGGACGTTGTTTTGGTAAAGGAAAAACGACATCGTATTCGTTTAAATTCATAACTGATATTAACACTTATATATGATGTCGGTTTAGAAATGGCATTAAAAATCCTGCATTAATGTCAGTTCAGAAACTTCATGCTAAAAAAGGAAAAAATAGCGCTCGATGGGGTTTAAAACGATGTCATTTATATAAAGCAAAAACAACGTTGTTTTAGCCCACCTATCAAACTTACATGCCGAAATGAAGTTGTTTTGTACCTAGTTTCAAAAACATTGGGCTTTGCAGCAAGAGTTATAACTTTGGGTGAGGGGTACATGTATACGGTTCGGATGGGACTCAAATCAGTGGCAAATGAAAGTACAAGTATGGACTGAGGGCTGATCTCTTAAAAGAAAATGTAGGGCTGCACTAATCCATTCGTCGCTAAAAAGAAATTTTCGTTGCTGAAGAACATCGACGACGAAAGAATTTTCGTCGCTGAAGAGGTAAAGCGACAAAAACGGGCGTTCGTCGCATATTGGCGACGAAAATGAACTTTTCATCGCATATGCGACGGACGCGCATTTTCGTTGCATATACGACGAAGTTTATTTTCGTCGCATATGCAATGTAAATCTTTTGCATCGCATTTGCCCTTCTGCGACGAAAACGCCTTTGTCGCATTCTGACCATATTTTTCCCATTACAATTTTCCTTTGCAAGTTTTCCTTGTTTTTTCGTTCTAATTCTCCTTATTATGCAAAAGTAAACACAAATGTCTAATCGACATCAAAATTCATCGCTAAATTTAAAACATTCAACTTGCAAAATTACTTAGATAATAATACGAATTTCATTAAACAATATATGCCATTGAAAACATATACAAGTTTCTACGAATAAAAACAATCCAATTAGAGTACCTATATATAGAATGAAATTTCTGAAAATTAAAACAACAAAATGTCTACCTAAATTTATAAATAACATTCTCCCTCCAATCGAGCCAAGGTTACAAAATATGTTTCCACCATATATCGTTGCATCGATCCTATACAAAGAATTGCATTAACTATTGTTGTAGTACAAGTATTAAAGCCTACACTAATAAACAAAATTAAACAAATATACTAAACCAATTTCACAAACACGCCCTCCTTTGTCAAATAAACGTATATACTAAATCCAACTAATTTCATAAAATTAAACCTAAAAAATATTTATATTTTCCTCATTCAAACCCGAGAAGAATAAAAAAAACAAATTACATAAGCAACTATCATAAAATCTATCAAGAACTTATGCACTTACTTAAAACCCACAAAACCCGTGTCTCGCTCTTCATCATGATATAACTCCACATACGCATAATTCAGAAGACATAAGTTAATCGTAACATACTTCTGACATACATAAATCATAAGACAGAACACGGAGAACACCCTTTAAACCATACCCCCCCCTCCCCCCACATGGCTCTTTATCATGATTTCAAACATAAGTAAATTCAAAACATCATACATACTTCAAACATACACGTAATTCAGAAGACATACTCAAAACATACATAAAGTCTTAAAACTAGAGAGCAAAACAAGAGCACCAAGAAACTAACTTCAAAACATACTTTACTATGTGATGAACTTCCTCCCCTCGCAAGTGTTTGATACATTTCGAGAAGTTTCATTTCAAACTCTTGGCGTTGCCTTTCTAGCTGTTGTTCAGTCGCTTGTCTTTCAGCTGCCAATGCTCTCTCTAATTGTTGTTGCGTCTCCTGCTATTGAGACTCAAAGGCGTTGATTCAGTAAAAAAGAATAGGGTTTTAAAAGAAGAAAGACATATCATTAGAATTTTGTGAAAATGCATAGATTCTCCAACTTTTTAATCAAGCCAAGCCAAACCAAGGGCAAGAGCCATGTGAATTTCTGTAAATGTCGGATTCCACAATCCAAACTTGCTCTTCTTTTTGGGGCAGTTTTGGATTCCACAATCTCTCTCTTTCAAAGACCGAGTCTTTGTCGTCCCTGCTTTAATTTCCTCACTCACTCCCATAGCTTGATCTCCACCAAACCAACAAACACAAAATCCAATATATATATATATATATATATAGCATCAAATTGAAGCATTTTGTGGCGAAATAATAAAGTAATTAGCATAAGGTTAAGAGAATAATAATTTGGATGACGAAGACTAATATGATGGTCTATCCTTCAGATTCAGTTTGATGATATCATTGAAAATTTGATGATATCCTTCAGAATAATAATTGAAAATTTGATGATATCATTTTGAGTCCTATGTTACTATTGCTATGGGGGTTACAGTGTCAATTGGTTTTCAGGGTGCTTTTACGTTACTTTTATCAAGTGGTTAGACTGTAATATTAACTGTTTCTGCTCTATCTCTGCTCTCTGTGAATGCTCTGGGTATCAAATAGCTTGATTGATAAAGGGAAAGAAGCTAGGGACCTAGAATATGTAAACATCTTACTGAAACATCATTAAACACTACATGTGACTTTTGGTAAACTTAATTTTATTGTGATTTTGGAGGACTGAAATTAGAGAAGAGTTATTATCATAACCTACGATTTTATCAAATTTCATTGTGGCTGTTTGTGATGATTTTCCTTCCTAGGAGATAAAGTTCTTACCATAACCTATGCTTTTATCTAATCTCATTGTGGCTGCTTGTTTTGATCTTACCTCTCAGGAGATAAAGTTGGAATGGGACAAGGGCTTAGCTCAAAAACGGGAAGCAGAAGCTGAACTTATGGAATTAGAACTCCAAAGGATAGACCATTTGCACGGTCAAGGTAAAACTGAATAATCTCTGATTTTGCACCTACGATTTTATCAAATTTCATTTGTTCTGACTCATTGGGTCATGAATGAGTACCGTCTCCCCCATAATTCCTCTCTCCCGATGGTAAGTTGAAAATTTTCAATTGAAATTGAAATCAAATAAACCAACGATGGAAGACTAAAACTCAAGAAATAAACGAGTGATAGAGATTCCAAGTGAACTAACCTCAGAGAAATTCACGAGGGCAACAGCGAGGCGACGGCAAGGCAGAGGCGGTGGGGAAAGAGTAGAGAGGGCGGCGGCGAGGCGATGGCAAGGCAGAGGCGGGAAGAGAGAATAGAGAGGGCGGCAGTGGCAGCACGTGAAGTCGAATCGGAGGAGGGCGGTGAGGCAACAGCAACCGACGGTGGAGAGAGTAGAGGGACAGGGTGGCGAACAGAGAGAGCAAGGAGATGCGATGGTGAGAAATTAGAAATTAGGGATTTCATGCTGCTGCATATTTATGCGACGAAATCATTTGCGTCCCATAAATATGCGACCAAAGTTACTTCGTCGCATATTTTAGCAACGAAAACACTTTGCGTCCCATATTATGTGACGGACGCGTTTTTTGCCACTAATTTTTTTCGYCGTTGAAACATATATTTCTTGTAGTATGGGTACATGTTGTATACGACTCGGATGAGGCTCAAACCAGTGACAAATGAAAGTACAACGAGTGTACTTAACGTATGTGGGCTATCAAATGGTTTTGAAATCGTTTGGAGGGCTGCTCTCTTAAAAGAAAATATGGGGCTGCACTAATGGCTCTCTCGGGTGACCCAGGGGTGTGGTGGTTGTACTCCTTTAGGGTTGTCCAAAGTTGATAAAATAATCTATAAATATTTTTAGTTTAAAGTTAAACCAATAAAAACTGCTTGCCAAAAATAAATCGATTTGGTTCAAATTTGATTGCTCAAAAAAAATCTCCAAAATCGTCCAACTCCAAATATAGAAAGTTTTCTGCGTGAACACCTTCTCTTTAATCGCCGACAACTTTTGTTCCAGATCTTGGATGGTTGCAATCTTTATGTTCTTGAAAAGCTCTTTCAAAAACCTTCAATTTAACATCTGATTTAGCTATAAACAACAAAAAGTTAGAGAGATATAAATCATCGAAGTTGGTATAGGGAACTCTCGGCTGCTACAGGATTTTTCCAGAAACAATGCTTACTAAAAACTCGATATCTTCCATACCGTTGGAAAGCTTTTTGAATGTTGAACACACACAAATAAGATACGCGACAATGATCCTAGGTAGGTGGCCACCATGGTTTGAACGCATTCTCTCTACGTCATTGGCCCTCATTAACCACTTGAGYCATCCCATGATGGTTTTAAAATCTATTTTCAAAATCTACTCTCAATACCAATTTTAAATTAGATTTAGGTTGTTTAAATTTGACTATTGATCATTTTATTAGATAGAGTTGATTCTCTAAATTAAGGTCCATTGTTTTTGCTATTGGTTCTATCAAATAAATCCTAAAATTAAGCATATATACCTAATTTGTTACATAATTATATCGCTTAGCCATTTATACAATATCTGATATGTTTGACTATTTTTTAAAATGCATTATTGAGTTTGACCATTCATTTTGCACTTATAAATTTTGACAATAACCCAAAACTTATTCTTCAAGGTTGCAACTCAGCCTACTTACCCAAATCTACTCCTCTCAAATCCAAATTCTCTATCTAAGCGCGAAAAGAAGAGCAACACATTTAAATGACTAAAAAGTATTAGATATTGTAAAAATGGTAAACTAATTGTTTTGTATACCATCTGAAATTTTATTTGCACAAATTTACCCCTAGCACAAAGTATATTATACAATGTTTTATTTTAAGATTTTTTTTTCAAGCAAATGCAGTAAAAAAAATACTAATTGTAGGAAGATGAAATTGTCGTCGATTCCGTTTGTAATAGTCAGATCTCATCAACATGTCTTGACATCATCCTTCGCGACAATAGCAATCAGATTATTGTCGCATCTTCGATTTTCCTACCCGTTCATTATCCGAAATTAATGTCATTCTCGAAGGTCTTCGTCTTGCTCAAGCCATGCATTGCCACCATTTGCCAGTGGAACCCGACTGTTTGGCTGCTATTAGAGCTCATTCAATGAGAAATCTCTACCATCGAAGATGAGGTAAATTGGCTGCTGGATGTGGAAAGTTTTGCTATTTCACTCCTTTACATTCCTCGTGTTTGAAACAAGCCTGCGCATTTATTGGCAAAAACTTGTTTTCTTTTTTTACCCATTGTCTCATGGTTTACCAATTTCCCTTTGTGGCTTTTAGATGTTGTAAAGGGTAATATCCCTTCCTCCTTAGCCCCCGAGGCTTTTGCTTGATGATATTTCCCTTTTCCTTCAAAAAAAAAAAACAAAATTACATCATTTCAAAAACTACTTCTTTTTTAGTGGGGTGGAAGTCAAACTCGCAACCTCTTGATTTGAGATATACGCCAATTACCGTGAACTATGCTACTACAATCGGAGGTCTTTTTTTTTTTAACCACTGAAAATTTAACTAAAGAAATTATAAATGAGTAAATTAGAATCCGAAAGACTATAAACTTAGTTATCATTTCAAATCAGTCCTAAAAAACGATGAGATTCTTTGAGTAACCTAGCTTGATCAGATTGCTTTAGATATAGTTTCTTCCTAGGGGCGGCTCGAGATTATACGAGGCCTTAGACAAAACTTTGATTAAGAGGCCTTACTATGAAAAATATCATGTAAATTTTATTTTTTATTACTTTTTGAGATGCAAAATTATGTATTAAATTTTGATAATATAAGTTCATTGATATATCATTTTTAATAAACAATATGACTAATCCATTTAATCTCTCTTGTGGCATAGCTCATCTTAAATACGATTAATCTTAATTTTGAAAATTTATCTCTTGATTTGTCTATACCTATCCTTTCTTCTATTATTTATCATTTTTATTACTTTTACTTCCAATTACAAATTTATCGAGAGCACCTGAGGTTCAATTTTTTTCTCCTCTTCTTTTCTTCTAGCTTTTCATATCCATATCCATATTTTATTGTAGACATATTAAGATTCTAAGTAAGCAAATCTAAACAAATCTTAGATATTAGGTTTTGAGCCATCAACAATATGAAATAATTTATGGAAAAAAGTAAAAGAATTTTAAAAAAAAAAACTTGAAACTTTGAGGTCGTTAGGTTGAGTTGAGGAAATAAAAACTTCAATTTCTACTCTAAAAATTGATAATCTTTTGAGACCACATAGAATGTCAAGATGACAATTTGAGATTTGAGAGTGATTGAGGGTGAGAGAGAGGGAGAGGGTGAGAATTCAACCTAAAAATAGTGTAACTAATATATTTATCCAGTTTTTTTAGATAAGAAAAGTTTTGGTGGTGAAAAAAATAAATAAAAAGATAAATAAATAGGAAAGGTCTCCCACCGAACTTATGTTAATGGGTTGAGATGTTTAAAGAAATTTGAAAGGAACATGAATAAAAAGATGTTAACAAATTTGAAATATAAACCAATCAAAATTGAGAGACCTTGTTAATTGTGGATGTTTTTTTCAGTAGTGTACATTTTTAATATTTTAAAAAATTATAAAATTTAATAAGTAAATTATTTAAGAATTTAAATTTAATTTATAATTGAAAACTAAATTAAGTAGATATCAATATTATATATTATAGAAAAAATATGATTTCTTTCCAGAACAGCGACATTAAGCGGTCGCCTTGCTCGTGCTGACCCTATTCTCCCTAAAGTACGTTTACTTAGAAGGGAGAAGATGAGGAAATCTACTAATTATGCTTACAATTTCAACTATGGATATAAGACAAAACAGTCTGGTCTGTGGCTCAGGTCGCATGTTGGCTTTTAAACTTATGGGAGTTGAAATTACGATATTACCCTTCCCTGTGCTGCCTAAAACCCTAGTACACGACACGTGTACCAATTTGTGAAATGTCCTTTTCATGTTCCTTATTTATAACGTACACGTTATAAATTATTCCTATGTATCAAAATGATTTTCTAGAGACCCCCTCAAAATGTTTCTATTAAAAAAAAATCATAATCATAATTATTCTGATTAGTTTCTTTCTACATTTCTCTTTCGAAAAAAAAAAAAAGAGTTTCTTTCTATTCTCACCTACTTTTTCATTTCTTGAAATCTTATTCGTAACCAAATCTTCTTTAAAGTAAAAACAAAAAACAAAAAAAAAAAAAGAAAAAGCTTTCTAAAATCTGATATTTGCTTTCTTAAAATTGGTTAAAATTTCAAAAAACTAAAAATTAAATAAAAATCATATATATACTCCATAAGTATAAATAATTTAATAAATTAATACTCCTAAACTTTAATGACCAATGAGAGCATAGTTCAGATTAAGGTAAATATATCAAACCATGAGATTGAAAGTTCGAATCCCCACCCCCATGAATTGTACTAAAAAGAAAGTTACAATTTGAAATTATTGAAAGTTTAAGGTAAAAATTGATACATCTAGGAAAGAAAATCTAACACGGGTGCGCTCTTGTACCAAAACACACTCCGATACTATAACACTCCCTTATTGAATATATGGAAAGAAGAGATAAGGAGAGCACTAGCACTTTAGCAAGAAAAGAAAATGATAACTCGTAAAAAAGTTCTATCAATAATAGACATAACTCTTGTGGAGTTGTAGAGGGGGGCGAGATGCATGACCTTGCTAGCCACAATAGTTTTGCCCCTATCACTCAGGACCAAATTATCCCAATATTATCTTACTCGTGTTCGACTAGAGGAAGAGACGATATGTAAAAATTTAATATATAAATAAATGGCTCAGTTGCAAAATGGCAAAAACATTTAGTAAAATTAGCAAAATAGCAACTACATTTACTTTTTTCAAATACATTACTTAAAAAAATAAAAGTCCAATTTTAAAATGATAACTTTACCCAAATGATATATATTTGTAAAATATCTATAATATATTTATAAAATATCTGACTATAGATATATGTATGTTATATACATTTGATATACTTGCAATATATATAAAATATATATCTGATATACTGCTGATATGAGTATCTATGCAATATGTATGTGATATAAATCTAATATATTACTAATATGAGTATCTAATATACTAGTTATATGATTATCTGATATACTATTCATATAAATGAAAATTTTTACTATATTTAGAAATTTTAAAAATAGGTGATATATTTTAAAATAGATAAAAGATTTTTGTTATCCACACCAATTTCTCTAAATAAATTATAGAAATTATAGAGTTGTTTGATTTAGATACTTTAATTGTGATACTTAATTTAAAATTCAAAACCTGTAATTTTTTTTTTCTTTTTAATATCCAATCAGAGAAAACTAAAAAATTATATGTGACAAATCTCATGGACTAGTCATCTACTATAAAAAGTCAAATGGAAAATAAAATTACTACGGTCACCGATTTTCGTAATTTCGCCTTTCTTGCCGTGATCACATTGTCATCTATTGAGTGACGTGTCCAACCTTCCCGCTAATCTTAATTTCACCAACATTGTTTTGTGTTTATACATTTTTGTAGCATTATAAAAAATATTAATATTAGTATTAATCTTTCGATAAATCCAATAAATCATTTTGGTCACTTAATTCTATTTTTAATCTCATTTTTAATGACAATTTCAACACGATACTACACTTAGTATATTTATTAAAATGTAACAATGACTTTATATTTAAGAGTTTCTTTTATAGGTTGAATTTATATTAAAATTTTGAAAATGAGGACAAAAATAATAATTTTTTAAAAGTATAGAAACCAAAATAATATTTTAATTTTAAAAATTTAATGGTGGACATTAAAATATGAATCTTGATCCCATGGCACCTAAATATTGTTTTTCTAGACAAAAATAAGGAAAAAATTGCAAAGTTTAATTTCTTTTAATTTGCCAGAGATCAAATCATCAACTTTGTTTGTTTCATTCTTTTGAGTATAACATTGTGAGAGTAAAGTTTTGAACTCAATACAGTTGAGCTAGGCTTAAATCTACTTCAACCATCGATTTTAAAATAGTAATAAGTGGTTTATCTATTAAGTTAGACACGAAATTCTCGAATTATAAAAAATGTCTAAAAAATTTTTAAACTTTCTTGTATCACACTATCTGTTAACTTTTAATTTAAATTCTATTGGTCAAATTTTTAATTTTATATCTAATAATAGATTCTTATTCATGACACTTAATTGAAAGTCAATAATTTAAGTTAGAAACCTTGTTAACACTTTCTTAAAATTTAAAAATTTGTTAGACATAATACAAAATATATCAAAATATATGTTATATTTTAAATCATAATTCAATTTACCTATATATATTTTATATTTAATTATAATCGTTATTATTTTCCTCTCCTTCTTCGTCCTCTGCAATGCATAGCCTGTGCTACTCAAATCCCCTCTCTGCGTTTCCGGTCACCGCCCCCTCGAAAAACCCTAATCGAACTCCGAACAAGAAATTTCAGATCCTAAACATGAGCGCCGATTTCGATCGAGCCACGGAATTGAAGCAATTCGACGAATCGAAGGCCGGCGTCAAAGGCCTTCTCGACGCTGGCGTCAATCGTATCCCT